ATGCAATGACACCAGTTGATCACATCAATTTATTATTTGGACCCCACTCTTCTGCTCATAGAGCAGCTTCACAACATTAAAATGGCGGGGGGGGGGGAACCCACCTGGAAGCAAATACTTCACATTGTTTTAAACATGCGACGGTCCCAAATCCACCTCTCCTTTCTGTTTGTGCTGATAACCTTTCTATGATGCAGATCTGTGACATCATTTCGCTCAAAGGCTCCTGCCAACTTTCTAGCAGTAGCCAATGAAGTGGAGCAAAGGAAGGGTAAAACTAAAGTTAATGATGTCATGCCAACTGCTGTGGTCCTGGGAGATATGGGGAGATGTGGCCCGCTTCCAGACAGCTTGCTTAATCAGGCTTAATCAGCCTGATTTGTTTGCAGAGAGATTGAACTACATTGGTTATCTAATGTGCACTCACCCTGATTCCCCCCCCCCACAGAGCTACAATTCCCAGCATCCTTTAAAAAAACTACAGTTCCCAGGATTCCTTGGGGGAAGTCAGGTGCTTTAATAAATGTGCTTTAAATATATGTCTCTGCCCATCTCATTTAACCTGTCACTTTCCTTTCCCAACCCTAGAAAAAAAAGCCCTCACGCATGTTCACTTCATCAAATCTGGGCCCCTGCTTTACGGAGAAGCATTTTTTCTTTCTCTCCCCACCCTGCTGCTAAAGAATGCTGAGAACTATAACCGGTCCTCTGGCAAAGCAGCAGTTTGTGCTTGCCACCCCAACAAAGTGCTTTACTTGTACAGTGGTACCTCGGGTTAAGAACTTAATTCGTTCTGGAGGTCCGTGCTTAACCTGAAACTGTCCTTAACCTGAAGCACCACTTTAGCTAATGGGGCCTCCTGCTGCTGCCACGCTGCCGCTGCACGATTTCTGTTCTCATCCTGAAGCAAAGTTCTTAACCCAAGGTAATATTTCTGGGTTAGCGGAGTCCGTAACCTGAAGCGTATGTAACCTGAGGTACCACTGTATGGGAAAGTTGAACTGGAAAGCATAGCATCTCTTTCACTGGCTTGTTTATGTGTCTGAGCGGCATGGAGCCACACTTTGGTGCACCATAACCCAGTTAGTGATGCTGGATGAAAGGTTCCTGTGCCGGAGGCCCTGCTCTCCAAGACTGCCCAGCGGCAGTCTCAGCAGCAGCCTTACTATTCAGAGTCCTTCACCCGCCCCTCCTCGTCCCCTGAGCTGTGTTGCACCTGGTTTGTGCTTTGTGGGGAGGCGTGGGGCCCTGTGGTTTCCGGTCGATGTTGTGCACTCCTTGCCTCAGTGTTGGGGCCGTTGCATAACCTCACACTGCAGTTTCAGGCTGAGGCACCCACCCCTCCCTTGAGATTCCCTGGCAGGGGAAGGGGCTGAGAGTGGAGGGGTTGCAGGGGCAGGCCCTCTCTCTCTCTGACTCCCCCTTCCCCATTTTATTGGGGTGCCATAGTTCCTGCTAGGATCATGGGAAATAATAATCATAATAAATCATAATAAATTTTATTTATATCCCGCCCTCCCCAGCCGAAGCCGAGCTCACGAGTGGCTAACATCAAATGTATAACACATTTGCCAAAAATTACTGTGGAGAGGTGGAAAGGAGGGCCCCATCTAGCCACTGAGAGGGGTTGAAAGCAGGGGAGGGCATCTCAGGCCTGGGTTGGTGGGGGAAGAATCCAGCCCCTCTTTGGGGGTTTTCTCTAGGCCACACCTTCTCTTTTTAGGTCATGCGCCTTGTCGCCCTGTTCCGTGCTTCCTTTGAATGCATGTGCCTGCCATCCTGCCCTTGTGCGGATTGACCATGGATACTTGCAGGTGTAGAAACCTCTGCTTTGTGTGTGGCTGGAATTGCTCTGCACCTACTTTGGCCCCTGGCTACACCCACCCGGCCAACGGCATGCGGCCCCCAGAAGGTTCCATGCAAGGCAACACGGCCCTCAGACTGAAAAGGTTTTCCCTATGCTTGGATTAAAGATTTGGATCCAGGGCTATTAAGGAACAAGGATTCCACAGCGAGGGCTTTTTAAATTCTTTTTGCAGAGCTGGGTTCCAGTTAGGGTAGAGGGCAATCCTCTTCTGTCTTTCCCAATCTCAAGCCTTTACACAATCTGTGGGTTTGTGGTTTCGGGCTGTTCAAGGGGGCTGCTCTATCTCTATGGGTTGTGCAACTGTCCTGACCATCGTTGCTCTCTTGCCTTCCACAGAAAAAGCGGGGAGATGAGGTGTGGTGTAATATCTCTCTCTCTCTCTCTCTCTCTCTCTCTCTCTCTCTCTCTCTCTCTCTCTCTCTGTGTGTGTGTGTGTGTGTGTGTGTGTGTACACAAAGATGCACTCACAGTCTGTTTCCAACACAGGAGAGCTGCTTGTGCAGAAAGACAGCAACTAAGCCTTAGAACCTGAATGCTCTCTTGCTACCTCTTTTGCATCTCCAGCCAGCCACTTCCTTTTCGAGGAAGATTGCTTGTTAATGGCTCCAGGTGGGTGGGGTGCTTGTTATCTCAATGGGAGCTAATGACTGAGAGATATCTGGCACTCTCTCTTCTGAGCTGCCAGGACTTTGAGAAGTGCTTCCCCCACCCTGATACCCAGTAGAACTCATGATGTGGCGCTCTCCTGCAAAAAAAACGACTATGTAACTTTATGAACTGGCAGCTGTGTTTGCTTTTTTCCTCTTCCCTCCTCACTCCCTTTTCCTTTTGTGTGCTGCAGTTGCAAGCCTGAGGGCAGAGACCATCTGGTTTCAATTGACTGCAACTTTCAGGCCTAGAGGACTGAAATTGTGGTCAGAGGCCCACCTGCCATGTTCTCCTGTCCTCTGAAGTGGGGCAAGTAGCAATGGCAGGGGAAGGGGCCTTCTCCACAGTGGCAGCATCCCCATGTGGAAAGCTCCCCCCCCCCAACTCTGACGTCATTTTAGTCCCCAGCATATACATTTTAAGAACCCAGAGTTGGGCAGTACCATTGGGGGACGAACCCCAAAGTCACAAGCTACTGAGTTCTCCAGAATGCTTCATCAGGCGAGTTGTTACACAAAGCCTCTTGCCCAATGAACGAAGCTTCTGGAGAACTTGAAAGCTCGCCAAGTTTCTGAGACATTTTGGTTCTTATTGCTGAACTCTGGATTTTCAAACTTTTATGAACCAAGGTATTTCTCCAGCCTCTTGAACACACCCCGCCCGCCACGCAGATTGTATAGTTTTTTCTGTTTACTTTTACCTGAAGGATTGTCTCGCCACTTATATATTCAGTTGATCACTGAGCTCTTGGAAGTAGAAGGCTTCTGGCAAATTGTCCCTTCATTCCACACAATGTCAGAATCAGGCCTTTAGTGTTGTGGCACCAGCTCCTTGAATATTAGACAGGAGCCACCTCTGTTATATTTTTGTTGCCTGCTGAGAACTTTCCCAGTCTGCATCTTTTATTTCAATTATTTTTTAAAATTATTTTTTATTGTTTTCATCATTTGCTCTTTGCCGCCCTGGGCTCCTTTGGCAGAACAGGCGGGATCTAAATTTAACAATAAGTAAATATTTTAGAGGAGGAATAAAAGCAGCACAACAGGGCACGTTATTATATTTACATTGTTAAACGTACACTCTATTCTCTTGTTTGCTTTCCAAATGGTTTTAATATTGTATTTTCATATTGTTGTAACCCCCCTGTGGGATGGGGAGGGAGGCTGTGTGTTTGTATGTGTCCTGAGGGTATGAACATGTCAAAATGTGTGGGGACCCCGGTTAGCCACCCCTACTATAGTAAAGCAATCCCAATTCACAAACCAATTTAACACGCCTATTTTCCACCTTAGAAATAAAATGTGTTGTGTTTGACTTGGCTCCAGTCTTTTACCCACTTACCTGGGAGCAAGTTCCCACTAACCTCTGTGGGATCTGTTTCTGAGCACATGCCTAGCCTGGCGTTTTGTGTTCCTTTTTGTGAGGCAGGGCAGCACGAGTGATTTTTATCAGCTGCCATGAAAGGAACCATGAAATCGTCTGTCCTCCCTTCACTCCACCCCATAGCCTCCTGGGGTCACAAATATTTTCCATCACGACCGGTCAAGCAATGGCTGCTGATTCCCTTACACTGTAAGGGATCAATACAGAGTTGTTAAACTATAGCAATAAACGCATTTCACACAGATTGTGAACTCCCCCCCAAAAAAATAAAAATAAGATGCTTCTTTGTTGAAATTTCCACTCAGAGCACGTGTAGATTGCAACATGTGAATACAGTGGTACCTTGGGTTAAGTACTTAATTCGTTCTGGAGGTCTGTTCTTAACCTGAAACTGTTCTTAACCTGAAGCACCACTTTAGCTAATGGGGCCTCCTGCTGCTGCCGTGACGCCGGAGCACAATTTCTGTTCTTATCCTGAAGCAAAGTTCTTAACCTGAAGCACTATTTCTGGGTTAGCAGAGTGTGTAACCTGAAGCGCATGTAACCTGAAGCGTATGTAACCCGAGGTACCACTGTATATCTGAGGATTTGCAAAGGCTGTTTTAAACGACAGCTTTTATGCTCAGCACCAGCCCTATCATTGCTATTTCATTGTGCAAACCTAAATGATCAATATGTGACAGAATCTCTCCCACGAAATAGTGGCACTCTGGCGGTGGTGACCTTAGATGGCCTGGTTAGAGCCTGGGAAAAGTTGTTCCTTAACGGCACAATCCTAGGCGTTCAGGAACAAGTCCTCCTTAGCTTATTTCCAGGTAAATTGGTAGAGGAGCTCAGCCTCATAGTTCTCAGCCCAGGACAGGCCTCAGAGGAAGCTGCGGTGTCTCATTTCGAGATTTATTAGGGCTACTTATACAGCCTGACAAGGAGATTCTGCTGGCTGCACCGTGGTCCCTAGAGATAAACACACCAGTCCTGCTTCCTCTCACGATTCCCCCCTCCCCCCCCAGCTCTGAAATCCGACCACCTGGCCTTCTGATCTGGGGCTGCAGAGTCGTGATACGCAGACACAAACACACACACACACACTGGCTGTGACGACACAGACACCTATCTCCCCCTCCCCATAAACTTAGAAAAAAGTCACGAAACCGGCTAAACCAGCCAATGGCTGGGCAGAGGAACTGGAAGGGTAGGGGGATATTAATAGAGAGAGGGAGAAAGGGCAGCAGTAGCAGCCTCTGAATTTCCTGGCCAAGGAAAAGCACCCAGCAGCATTTCCCCCCACTAAGGCATGGTGCAGGATCCCACCGCTCAGAGGTCTGAGTAGGTACGCACACCCTCCCTTTGCCAGTTTCGTTGTCCAAGGAAAAGAAGAGGAAGAGCCAAGGAAGACGCCACCAGGCGGTACTGGATCAGCTATCCTAGAACGCAGCAAAGTGGTGAGTAGCCTGCATAGCCCAGTGGCAAAAAGCACATGCTCTATGTGCAGAAGGTCCTGGGTTTGATCCCCAGCATCTCCAGCAAGGGATGGGAAGGTCCTTGGCTAAAACCCTGGAGAGCTGCTCCTGGACCAGGAACCTCTGACCTTCCAGGTGATGCTGGACTCTCACTTGTATTGTCCCTGATGGGCTGCGGATCATGGGAGTTGGAGTCCAGCAGCATCCCTGGAGGATGCTGAGCTAAATGGACCAACAGTCAGACTCAGTACAAGGCAGATTCCTAACTAATGCTGAGGTGATGCCTGTGAGCAGGGAAAGAGAGGCAGCAGCTCAATGCACATTCGTACTACAGGTTTCAGGTTCAATGTAATTGGCATTTGCAGTTAAGAGACCCTCATGTCCCTGGGAAACCCACTGCTGACCAGATCAGGGAGGGCCACTGCCGCTTAGTGGGCTAAGATGGATCAGCGGTTTGGCTCAGTGTAGCACATCTGCCGGACTTTAACCTTAAAGCACGAGGCTCTTAATTCCAGGGTTGTGGGTTCGAGCCCCACATTGGGCAAAAAAGATTCCTACAGAGCAGCAGGTTAGACTAGATGACTCTTGTGGTCCCTTCCAACTTGACAGCAAGTCCAGATATTCACAAATAAGAAGGAAAGCAAAAATCATATTGCAATCTGATTGCGAGTATTAGAATATGAACTTTTTTTGCTATTGTTGCATCTGTTTATTATTATATCTGCCTTACTTTTGCCTAGTTTTGATACTTCTTTCCTTAAAAAATAATTAAAAATTCTGGTAAATTCAGATCTAAATCGATCTAAATAGATTGCAGACATGGATCCTTGGCGCCAATGCTGGATGGAGCCTCCCTTGCAAATGGTCCCGACTGGAGCAGAGGTGGAACAGTTGGGTAAGAGCTTCTCCCTTTTATTCCTTCCACACTCAGCCCTTAATCATGTCGGCTGCAGCCCCATGCCAACGAGTGTAGGACTTCTTTCTCAGTGCCTGTGTGTAGGATTGTGCTGCTGGGTGTTGCTTTGTGGTGTTTTATTTTAAAAGAAATGAATAAATGAACAGCTTTTTTCGTTTTAGTGATTCCTACAGTTCCCACCTATGGCATGTCAAAGTAAAGGATGAATGCCTTATATTGAGTCAGACCATTGGTCTGTTGAATGGTTTATTTAAATATTAAGGTTCATTATTGTTTCACAAAATGTGTATCTCTTTAAAGGCCAGAGTAAATATCATGACCTAGTTTTACAGCTGTGAAGCAGTATAGCAGGTGCTGTTAAATTGTGTTAGTTAAGCTGTGTCAGCAATTGGGTATACAGTGGTACCTCGGGTTACATACGCTTCAGGTTACATACGCTTCAGGTTACAGACTCTGCTAACCCAGAAATAGTACCTTGGGTTAAGAACTTTGCTTCAGGATGAGAACAGAAACTGTGCGGCAGTGGCACAGCAGCAGCAGGAGGCCCCATTAGCTAAAGTGGTGCTTCAGGTTAAGAACAGTTTCAGGTTAAGAATGGACCTGCGGAACGAATTAAGTACTTAACCCGAGGTACCACTGCAGTATATAAAGAGCAGCGTGTACCTCTCTCAGTCCCCTGGTGAATGGGTCGAGAGATGGGTCATACTTATAGATTTAATGTAAGAGGAGTTTTTGTTTTTGTAATTAAAGCCAAGCAAAATATATTTTTGCGTTTCTTCCTTGTTTCCTGAATGTGTGGTCTCCCCAGCACACTTTCTGCAGCGCAATTAAGCTGCTAAATAAGCAACATCTTTCACCTATATCAGTATTGTCTACACTGACTGGTAGCAGCCCTGCAGGGTTTCAGCCAAGGGACCTTCCCAGCCAAACCTACCAGCCACCTTCTGCATGCAAAGCAGATGATTTTCGCAGAGCTGTTGCCCTTCCCCGTGGGCAAACCTTGCTCTTCCAGTTGTCTTCGTACTACAGCTCCCATCATCCCCGACCTTTGGCCATCCTGGCTGGGGCTGATGGGAGTTGGAGTCCAGCAACAGCTGGAAGGCTGCAGGCTCCTTTCCCTGCTGTAAAGTATGCATTGGTTAAAATATAGAGAGAGAGCCATTTGCTTTCTATCCTGCATTAATTGAATTCATGATGCTATAGCCTTTTTAAATGTGTTTGTGGGTAGGGGTGGGGCTATTGGTTTGGTTTGTCTTTGTTTTGGGTTTTTATCTTGTGTTTTCATGCTGTGAACCACCCTGAGCTCTGCAAATGAAGAGCGGCATACAGATAAATAATACAGATAGATAATAATGATGATGATTACGACGACACATTCTGTGTCTCTTCAGCATTACTTAAAATGCTCGAAGTCAACAGCCTCGCAGATTTTTCGAAATGCAAAATTTAATGCAAAACTAACACAAATAAACTTTTTTTTAAAAAAAAATGTAAGATGCAAAATTGAAGCAACACTGGCAATCAAGCCATGAATTATCAAAATGGTTGGAACTGAGCGTTGAAAGTTACAGATAATGCTCCCTAGGGTAGATATTAGTGGTAGTAGAAATAATAATAATAAATTTATATACAACTTACATGCCATAATGACTTCTGAGCAGTTTTCAACAGTATGTGTGTGTGTCTTTAGCAGAAGAAGAATGGAACTGGTTCTTTAACATGCTTGCTAGGAAGTTTCAACCTTAAAGAAAATGTCTGCATAACTATATATCAGTGGCGTCTTATCCCTTATAAATTTAGACAAAATTATAAAGTTAATATAAATGGAGATGTAGAAGAATTTAAGTGGGCATTATCAACATGTACTACTAGACATTCACTGAGATTAAATGTACAGTATTTGGAACGCAGTATTCGGCATCATTCAGGAAATCACAGGGCACGTGGTAACGAGAATCCTAAAACGGTGCTTCTTTGTATAATGCAAATGGAAGCGTTCAGAGGACAAGATGTTAAAGCAGAGCCAGGGATTATTATTATTTTCTGAGGTGGTAGCGAGTAGTTTGAAAGTGGTTTCACTTCCTGTGACAGGGTATGCACACTTGTGTACACACATTGTTCCCATCTGGCTGGGTGATCTCTCAGAACCACTGCATGTGGAGCAAACAGTTGCCAGTTCTAGGCACCAATGCCAGGGGGAAAGCTTTATCTTAAGAAATTTCCGGGAGAGATGTTTAGCTCAGTGATAGATCACATGCTTTGCTTGCAGAAGGTCTTGGGTTCAATCCCTGGCACCTGCAGTTCAAAAGGATGAATTCACAAATGATGGGAAGGACTTCTGGCTGAAATCCTAAAGAGCCACTGCCAGTCAGAACAGACAAGCCTAGTATATTGCAGATAATAATTTAAATAAATAAATAAATAAATAAATAAATAAATAAATATATATATTATTTATACCATGCCCATCAGACTGAGTTGCTCCAGCAACTCTGGGTGGCTTCCTTTGTCTTTATGTTGCCTCTCATCATAGAAGTTTGCAAATGATCTGAAAAGCCTGTGTGGTTAGGGGTCTTCTTCTTCTTCTTCTTCTTCTTCTTCTTCTTCTTCTTCTTCTTCTTCGGTGATCACTTGTAGCTGAGTAAGATTGTCTTCCATAAACATGGTTTTAACAATGAGTCCGTAAGTCCCTGAGGAGGCCAATTCTGGATCCACATGTCCTTCCACAGTGGGGACATTGGTTTCCGGGCAGGAGTTGACCATGGTGATGGTTTGCCAAGCGTGCCTTCCTCTTAGTGCGTTTCTCCTTTTGGTCCTGAGTTTGAGCGTCTTCAAAGCCCACGACCCCTTTGGTAAAGGCTGTTCTCCAACTGGAGCGTTCGCAGGCCAGTGTTTCCCAGTTGTCGGTGTTTGTACTACATTTTTTAAGATTTGCCTTGAAACAGTCTTTAAACCTCTTTTGTTGACCACCAGCATTACGCTTTCCATTTTTACCTTCGGAATAGAGTAGTTGCTTTGGAAGACGATAATCAGGCATCCGCACAACATGACCAGTCCAACAAAGTTGATGTTGAAGAATCATTGCTTTGACACTGGTGATCTTTGCTTCTTCCAGTACACCATAGCTGCCAACTTTCCCCTTTTCTCACGAGGAATCCTATTCGGAATAAGGGAATTTCCCTTTAAAAAAGGGAAACATTGACAGCTATGCAGTACACTGGCATTAAGGGGTAGCCTTGGGATGAATGTAGACACCATTTCTTTCAAGCCAGCTTTAACTCTTGTACCATTTCATGCAGCCGTATTCAGCCCCGACTGCTGTTTATCCTGCGGCCCTCCAGATGTTTTTGGACTCCAACTCCCATCAACCCCTTCTGGCACAGCCAATGGCTGAGGAGTGATAGGAATTGTAGGCCAGGAATACCGGGAGGGTCTCAACCTCCTCGTCTTTGCCCTACAAAAAAAAGTGTTTTCAAATGAAAGTCTGATGCCCTTACTTCTTTCTCTTTATTTCTCCCCTGCATCAAGATTTCATGGAAGATTACAAGAAGGTTTTCCAAGAGGAAGACTTCAGAGCTGTAGATTCCTGGTTTTTGCCAGAAAATGAGGTGAATCAGCCGCCGCCAAGTTGGACCGGTGGGAGTTACCTAGCTGAGCTTGAAGGGTTTGAGAAGGAAATGGCGTTCCATCACACGCCGGGCTTGAAAGGTAAATGCTATCTCTGGGTGTGATCACTAAAGTATCCCGACCTTTGCATCAGCCACACTGGAAAGTCGTGGGAATCTGTGACCTTCCGGATGTTGATGGATCCCAGGGCCTCATCTGCACTATAGATTTAAAGCAGTATCATACCATGTAAACATTTTAAAATATATGTTGGAAGTTGCCCAGAGTGGCTGGGACAACCCAGTCAGGTGGGTGGGGTACAAATAATAATAATAATAATAATAATAATAATAATAATAATATAACATAACAATAACAATAACAATAACAATAACAATAACAATAACAATAACAATAACAATAACAATAACAACAACATGGCTTCCCCTAAAGAATCCTGGGAACTGTAGTTTGTTACAGAGGCTGAGAGTTCTTAGAAGACCCTCTGTTCCTCTTACAGAGGTACAATTTCCAGAGTGGCTTAACAACCAATCCCTCTTCCTAGAGAACTCTGGAAATTGTAGCTCTGTGGGGGTTGTCTAACAACAACTCGGGTGGCGCTGTGGGTAAAACCTCAGCGCCTAGGACTTGCCGATCGTCAGGTCGGCGGTTCGAATCCCCGCGGCGGGGTGCGCTCCCGTTGCTCGGTCCCAGCGCCTGCCAACCTAGCAGTTCGAAAGCACCCCCGGGTGCAAGTAGATAAATAGGGACCGCTTACTAGCGGGAAGGTAAATGGCGTTTCTGTGTGCTGCGCTGGCTCGCCAGATGCAGCTTGTCACGCTGGCCACGTGACCCGGAAGTGTCTCCGGACAGCGCTGGCCCCTGGCCTCTTAAGTGAGATGGGCGCACAACCCCAGAGTCGGACACGACTGTCCCGTACGGGCAGGGGTACCTTTACCTTGACCTTTAACAACTCTCAGCATCCAAATGACAATTTCCAGAATGATTGGTTCAGAAGCCATGTCTGATCAGAGTGGTACGATACCGCTGCAAATGTGTATTGCGGATGGGGCCCACATGTTGTAAGTTGCTTGGAGACCCTTTGGGCAGCAGCAAGCAACTAACAAGTCTAATATTATCCCATTTCTTTTCTAGGCTTCCCTGAGTACACAAATACGGTAATGGAATTGACACAGGTCTCCTCTACCTGCCTGGATTACAGTGCACTGTATGAAAGAGGTAAGTTATAGGCACTGGCGGAGCATGAAGCTCCCCCGCTGGTTATAGGCAGGAGGAAAGAGATGGCTCTGTAGGCGGTTTTAGGAAGTTTGGGACACATCAGAGCAGGGAGAGCCAGATGCCCTCCAGATGTTGTTGAACTACAACTCCTATCAGCACCAGCAAACATTGACCAATGGTTAGGGATGGTGGGAGTTGGTCCAGGGACATCTGGCGGGTGCCACATCAGCTATCTCTGCCTTGGGTCATTTCCGCCTCCATGGTTTTGGGTTCAGACCAGATGGGCAAATGTTTCATTTCTATACATTACAAAATAATCAAAGCATCTTACTGTAATAAACACACACATACACATAAAACAATAATGGTGCCATAACAGTCACCCATGAATTACAACAGTGACCAGACGTTTAGGCAACAAGAGGCAAAGGCTTTAAGAGTTCAGCAGATTGTAAGATGGCAATTACTGTTCAAAAGCTGGCTTGAAATTATTTTTTAAAAAGGACGTTGGCATCTGCTGGCAGATGGGCAAACAAAGAGGGAACCTGGCAAATTGCCAGAGTCCTGAAATCATGGTACATACAACAGGGGGGCTTGTTTTATGCTTCCAGGTATGTTGTACAGTGGTACCTCGGGTTACAAACACCTCAGGTTACAAACACTTCAGGTTACAGACTCCGCTAACCTGGAAGTAGTACCTCAGGTTAAGAACTTTACCTCAGGATGAGAACAGAAATTGTGTGGTGGCGTCACGGCAGCAGCAGGAGGCCCCATTAGCTAAAGTGGTACCTCAGGTTAAGAACAGTTTCAGGTTAAGAACAGTTTCAGGTTAAGAACGGACCTCTGGAACGAATTAAGTTCGTAACCAGAGGTACCACTGTATATGGAGTTAGTTTTTCTCTGCATGCTATGGGGACGTTTGGTTTACATTGTCCCAGATTCTGGCTGTAGGTGCAAAACAGGAAGAGGGATCTTCCACTGGATATTGGCCTGCAACTCCCATCAGCTCCAGCCAGTGGCCAACAGAAATGGGAGGCATAGCTGTCAACGCTTCCCTTTTTTTAAGGGAAATTCCCTTATTCCAAATAGGATTCCTCACAAGAAAAGGGAAAAGTTGACAGCTATGATGACAGGCCACACCTGGAGGGCCAGAGCTCCTTGGTGTGAGGTGAGTAAAGCAGTCAGATCGCGGTTGGCCCTCCCCTTGATGTTTCTTTCTCCTTCAATCGCCTTCAGATTCTAGGCTTGCCTATCAGGACAGCAGCTCCACGAGTCTGCAGGTCTCCCCGTATGTTAGCGCTGCGCCTCAGGCCTTGTCTTCTCCTCTGTGCCGCTGCTCCCCTGAAGAGCAACGGCCCTCATCTCAGCCTCTGCTCGGAGGTCAGCTGGAACAGCAAGAACCAGGTAGGCATGTTCGGCTGTTGGCTTCATGCACTGATACTGGGCATCCTAGAAACCCACCTGGCTGGCCATTGTGGGATGCTGAACTAGATGGATGATGTTTGGTCTGATCCTGCAAGGCAATTCTAGTCTGTATGTTCTGAAAGAAGCGTGGAAGCAGAGGATTCCGGAGGACGGAAAGCACAATCTTGCTGCCTCATTAAACAGTTTGCACTGTCTGCGTCAATGTAAGAGTGAAAGAAGACCTGCTGAATCTGGCCCATCCAATCCAGTATCCTGTTTTCACAATGGCCAAGCAGATGCTGATGGGAAGCTGGAAAGCAGGATCTGAGCGCAAAGCTCTCTCCTCTCTGATTCCCAGCAACCATTGATTTGCAGTCCAGTGGTACTTCGGGTTGCATACGCTTCAGGTTACAGACTCCCCTAACCCAGAAATAGTACCTCGGGTTAAGAACTTTGCTTCAGGATGAGAACAGAAATCGCACGGCGGTGGCGGGAGGCCCCATTAGCTAAAGTGGTACCTCAGGTTAAGAACGGTTTCAGGTTAAGAATGGACCTCCAGAACAAATTAAGTACTTAACCCAAGGTACCACTGCATTCTGTACACTAAGCCTTTAATAGCCGCTAAGCCGCTAAACCACTAATAGCGCTAATCCGCTAAGCCGCTAATAGGGTTGCTTCGCAAGACGAAAAAACCGCTAGACGAAGAGACTCGCGGAACGGATTATTTTCGTCTTGCGAGGCACCACTGTATTCTGATAGCAGAAGGCAAACACACGGTAGCCGTTGTAGCCAAGGCTAGTACTACTCAGAAGAGAACCCGTTAAAATGAAGGGATGTGATTTAGTTTCCATTCATTTTGACATGTCTGCTTTGAATAGAGCTGGATACAATTACACTGCTTCTCTAGTTCAATGTGGTTCATTTCACCTAGCCCAATATTACTCTGATTTGGAAGTGTTCATGCAGAATCTCAGGTAGATGCCTTCCCTATTACCTGCTACCTGGTCAATTTAACAGGAGATTTAAATCTGGGACTTTATATGTGCAAAGCAAATGCTATGGCCCATTCCTAAATCAGAGGGGGACCAAAGGTAGATAGAGGCACCATGACTGTAGCCAGGATTTTTGTTGTGGTGGCGGTGGGGGGCTTTTGTTGGGGGGGCAGAACCTCAGATTTGTATTGATTTTTAATGATTTAGGGGGCCAGCTTCCTGCCTGCCTTCTCCCCTTGGCTACACCCATGAGATGCACAGAAGCCCTAACCCATGCTGAGCCCTTCACAAACCTCTATGACTTTATCAGGCATCTTCCACATGCTTTCCAGTCTACCCTCACAATCCTGTTCTTCCATAATTTCCCCTCTAGAACAAGATTTATTGGGTGTTGTGACATCCCGTGATTGGAGAAAGACATCTGGCCCAGCTGTCTTCAGCCAACCGATCCCCTTGGAAAGCGATTCATGTCGGTGTGGCCCTCCGGTCAGAACCCAGATGAAAAAGGAGTCAAGGGACTGGGCAGAAGCCAATGTCACCCACTTGTCCCATAGGGAACGGACAGGTAACAGTCTGGAAAGATTTCTGCCCTTCCCATCAATACTAGAAACCAGAGACAGGGCCTTTTCGGAGGCTGTTCCATAGCTTTCAAACTATTGGAAAAGTCTGTCAAGGTCCTCCTCTGTTTGGCTTGCCAGAGGTCTTCAAAAAGTGTTGCTGGCGTTGCTGAAGGCTTTTTGGTCGCATGATCTGAAAGCCTTGGGGGGTGGGATCAGCAGATTTAAATTCTGCCTCCCCTTCCTTATTTCTATTTGGCTTGATGTGCTGCTACCTGTGTGATCCAGCCACAGCTTTTTAATGGCTGTTTTATTGTTATGCTTGTAGTTTTGATTTAATCTGTGTAAAGCCGCTTTCAACCATATCCCATAAAAACACTGTGTAAAATCGGGGTCCGACATGGGACGCCAAGCAGGCACAAGTAGACAGCAACCAGGCCGCTACTGGTTTAAAATTTCATGAAAATAAATAATAATAATAATAATAATAAAAATAAATAATAACAGCTGCCACTGGCTGTTCACATCCCACTTCCCTCTCCCTGCTGGGCCCAGACCCCTTCTCCACCCAAATCACCACTGCCCAGCCCTGACAGGAATCACAGGTTAGGGGGCACTATACTTGCTTGCCTCAGGGCACTGGCAACCCATGCTACGCCACTGGCTCCGTTGAAGCCTTGCATACCACCAACACTCCTTGCTTCTCTTTCCTGGACAGGTTCCGGTCCCATCCAGCTGTGGCGTTTCCTATTGGAGCTGCTCCAAGATGGCTCCTGCCAGGCCTTCATCCGTTGGACGGGGAACGACTGGGAGTTCAAACTCTGCGACCCCCATGAGGTGAGGCTGGTATGCGAATGGAAGCAGTGGCACTTAACCCACAAGTGGGAAAACTCCTTCCATGCCCTTCCCATCAACAGAGGTGTACCAAGGCTCCCTTGAACCCTTGGCAAGGAGAGCATGTGGATGGGCTGGCAGGATCGGGGCCAGAGTGTATGATTTTTACACCCCCTTGGTGGGGGCCAACCTCACTACCCTTAGGTACAACCCTACCCATCAATACAGGGAACCAGAGGGGCATGGAGAAAAGACCTTTGCGGTTCAAATGGGGGTCTTAGATGTACGCTTAAGAATCATAATGTGTCAACAGGATCAACATCAGTTTGAAAACCTGTGTATCGTTCAGGAATGGGAGATAGGGTTCATAGAAGGGACCCCAAGGGTCATCTAGTCCAACCTCTTGCAATGCAGGAATTTCAGCTAAAGCATTCAGGACAGGTGGCCCCCCAAACTCTGCTTACAAGCCTTCAAGGAAGGACAGTCCACCACCTCCCGAGAGAGACCATTCCACGGTTGAACAGCTCTTGCTGTCAGAAAGTTCTTCCTGTCTAGTCAAAATCTCCTTTCTTATAACTTGAAGCCATTGGTTCGAGTCCTACCCTCGAACAAGAGAAAATGGCTATGCCCCCACCTCGCTACACCACAGGGGAGCAATCTGTGGGTCTCCAGCTGTTGTCAGCTGTATGGAAGTAGATGCCATCATCTCACTAGGCAATCTTTGCCAACCCAGCTACTTCAGACTATGTGCTGGCTGGAGTTGATGGAATTGTAATCCAAAACAGCTAGAAGGTTCCAGGCTGGTCAAGGCCGCTGTAGTACAACACATCCAGCTGCAAACTCAACATGCAACAGGTCTTTGGCTCTTGTGATCTTTACGCTGATGCAGTGCTTGGGGGCTACCTTCCATCCCATTCTTCTTTCTCAACTATGGGCAGGTGGCGAGGCGCTGGGGCAAGAGGAAGAACAAACCCCGCATGACCTATGAGAAACTCAGCCGCGGCTTGCGCTACTACTATCACAAGAACATCATTCACAAGACCAGCGGACAGCGCTACGTGTACCGTTTCGTCTGCGACATCCAGGGCCCGATGGGTGAACTAGCTGAGAAATTGCACAGCTAGAAAGGCCTAATATTGTCATCGTCAAGCCCCTGGGCCTACCCTCCACCAACACCAGGAAGGAAACAAGGAGCAAGGTACTAGTGGGGACATCACCAGCTCCTTTAAGACTTTGCTTAAGACTAAGTGGACAGCAAGGCTGGCACAAGGTTGGTGCTTCTGCAAATAGGACATTTTCTGCTGCTGCTGTTTGCAGGCTGGCCAGTCTGTTTGCCAAAAGTATGTCCATTGAAGCAGGTTTCACTATTTGACAAAGTAATAGTTTACGCTTTTTGCTCCCCACTCATGGAGCAGGGAAACAAAGCAAAGACGAAGATTTGGTCAGAAGTGGAAAATACCTGGGCATTTAGTTGGAACAAAATAAAGCAGGGTGGGAGGAGTATGTAATTCCTTGGGGGTCTCTCTCCTCCACTCCTCCATCATCCCCCCAAAACCATGCACTGTCTCATTTGCTGAATCTTTTACCAATACAGTATTCATAATATGCAGAGAATTTTTTTTTGCCTCCCTCCCTTGGGTCAGTGGCTAGATTGTAAGCCACTTGGGGCAGAGGAACTGTCCTTCCAGAATTTGTAAAGCACCATGTACCGTAGTAGTATGAAAATAAAACAAACAAACAAACCCAAAGCGTAATTTTTAGGTGGGTGAAAATGTCTCTCAGCTCTGTTGGTCACAGGGGCCATGGCTGAAAGGAAGCAGCAAAATTTTAGCAGCTTTTCAAAAAACCACGCACCATGAATCTACGGTAAGTACGGTTACAGTTCCCCATCGGGTTTAGTCATTTAACATGCACAGGATTACATTGCAATTGACAAGTCTAATTGGTCAGTTTCCTGCTCTAACTTACCCAGGAGTAAGGTCCAACGAACTAAAAACAGGAACTAGTTCCGAATAGACATATACAGCATTAGAATAATTTCTCCAATTCGTAGCAAACATCCACATGTCTTCTGAATGTCCACTTGTTTTGCGGGGTGCCATAGCCTTTTTTTCAGTGGGAGAGACAGGGTGCAAATGTATGCATGTGAATTTGCCTGCCTGCAGTGGAAGATGGCAAACTTTCAGAATAACTCCAGTTGCAGAACCTGCTTCTTAGGATTCAGAGAGGTAAGATTTTTCCAAGTCGTCACCACAAACACCAGAGTGGGTTTAAATGTCTGGGAAATGGTGAAAATATCCTTTCCCCTGCACTGCAATTCAAGATAGACCCAGAGCCATCTTTGATGACATAAATTACTTGATGTTTGCTGTTAATAAAGGAATCAAGAGAATGCTGGTAGGTTAAGCAACACAAACCCTTTTCAGTGCCAAACCATGCTGCCTTTAAAAAGCCAGCCAATTTGCTTTGCAGATGTTCCAATGTGGTTTCCCTTTTTGCTGTGAGATGGTAGAACTTCTGTTTTCTGGATGTCCACCTGGCCTGTGGAGCACCACAAACCTTAGCCTTACTTCAGGTGGGTGGGGTGGGGGTTGATCAGTGGCCCACAAGTTGTTTCTAGACAACAACTCCCACTATCCCTGCCTGGGGCTGATGGGAGTCTGAGTCCCAACATCTGCAAGGCCACAGACCCCTTATCCCCAGCCTTAGATGAAGCCCTGCTTTCTTGGGGAGGAGTAACAAACCAGTGAAGGATCCTGCCAGGTGCACAAGTGAGGAACTGCTGCCAAAATCGCAGGGCAGCAGCACGTATTGCAGAAGTTAGAAATGGCTGAGCCAGGCCACAGAAGGATAAGAGCAAGTCCTACCCCCCCCACCCCTGACTGAGATTTCATGGCATTTTGATTCAGTCCAAAGAACTGGAAAATATGAAGGCGCGTTTTGATGCAGTAAGATTTATTCCAAAGAATTAGAAAATATGAAGGCACGTTCTACTTATCAAATCGTAACTTACAGCAAGAAAGGATGCTGGTGTGTGTGTGTGTGTGTGTGTGTGTGAGAGAGAGAGAGAGAGAGAGAGACAGACAGACAGATACACACACCGCTCTTAGGTTCCTCCCCAGAGCAACCTGACCTATGCCGTGCCCCTTCAGTAATGAGCGCAGATAGGCTTAGATACCTATATTCCAGCAAGTGGGGTGTGTGTGTCTGTGTGTGTCATTTTCACACAAAGACCCAGCACTCTCCCACACTGGTCTCAGACCCAGCTCTGCTGCTGGTGTTGCTGCTGCTGCTTCTGTTGCAGAGCTCTGGCAGCCAGGGTCCAGCGCTCCAGCCACTGCTGCAGGGTGAAGCCAAGGCGGCGTTCGGTGGGGAGTACAAACTGTGCGGGTTGCTCCCACCTGGAAGAGGGAAAACAGAGAGGGTGTTTCAGAGTGGCAGCTGGGCTAGTTTTTTCCAGGACCCCCCCAAAAAACCCAAGAACCTCAGAGCTGATGGATCCTGTGCACCAATTTCTTTAAGGGGGGAGGCAGAAATCCCTATCAACTAGGGCTCCTGTGGGGTTTATTTTGCAGGTGCATCCCACAACATGCCATTGCATTGGGGTGGATACTGGACCATCCACACATTATTCCATATATATATATATCTGTTTTACAATTTAAAGCACTCATTTTTACATCCTTAAAATATCAATGACTTCCCTTGTCTTTCCATGGTTCATTTTACATATCATAAATCCTTGCACATTTTACAAAAGCTATACCATTTTACAAAAGCTATACTATTCAGTATTCCATTATTCCATCCATCAAAACATATATTCAATAAACGCTTTCCAATCTTCTCTAAACGTATGTTCTTCTTGTTCTCTTATTCTATATGTTAAGTCTGCAAGCTGCAAATATTCTGTCAATTTGAGTTGCCATTCTTCTTTGGTTGGCGCCTCACTCGTTTTCCATTTTTGGGCTAACAGAACACGGGCCACAGTAGTAGGATACATAAATAACCTTTTTTTTAATACCTGGGAATTTCAGTCTGAATTATCCCCAACAGAAATGACTCTGGGGTTTTTTTGGAAAGTACTTTTAAACATTTTTTTCAATTAATGATGGATCATTTCCCAATACACTTTTAGCCTCTTACAAGTCCACCACAGATGAAAGAACGTTCCCTCCACCTCTTTGCATTTCCAGCACTTTATACATCTTAGCAAGCCTACTCGGAGCTAAATACCATCTGTAAATCATTGTCAAGTAGTTCTCCTTCAAAGAATAACATGCTGTGAACTTCAAATCACTTTCCCAGAGTTTTTCCCAGAGGTTAAATTCTATATTGAGTCCTATATCTATCGCCCAGTAATAATAATAATAATAATAATAATAATAATAATAATAATAATAATAATAATAATAATAATTTTTATTTATATCCTGCCCTCCCCAGCCGAAGCTGGGCTCAGGGCAGCTAACAACAATCAAAATAGTCCAACATTCTAAAAACATTCCTTATAAAATTAATTAAATCAAATTAAAATCAAATTAATGGCAACCATCAAGCAAAATTCTGTGCAGATTGCCAGAGGAGGGGGTCAGGCTGCGCCCTGACCAAAGGCCTGGTGGAACAGCTCTGTCTTGCAGGCCCTGCGGAAGGATGTCAGGTCCTGCAGGGCCTTAGTCTCTTGTGACAGAGCGTTCCACCAGATTGGAGCCGCGGCCGAGAAAGCCCTGGCTCTAGTTGAGGCCAGCCTAACCTCTCTGTGGCCTGGGATCTTTAGGATGTTTTTATTTGCAGACCGTAAATTTCTCTGTGGGACATACCAGGAGAGGCGGTCCTGTAGGTACGAGGGTCCTAGGCCGTATAGGGCTTTAAAGGTTAAAACCAGCACCTTAAACCTGATCCTGTACTCCACCGGGAGCCAGTGCAGCTGGTATAGTGCCGGATGATATGATCTCGCAGCGAAGACCCCATAAGGAGGTAAAGGTAAAGGGACCCCTGACCATTAGGTCCAGTCGTGGCTGACTCTGGGGTTGCGGTGCTCATCTCGCTTTATTGGCCAAGGGAGCCGGCGTACAGCTTCCGAGTCATGTGGCCAGCATGACTAAGCCGCTTCTGGAGAACCAGAGCAGCGCACGGAAACGCCGTTTACCTTCCCGCCGGAGTGGTATCTATTTATCTACTTGCACTTTGACGTGCTTTCAAACTGCTAGGTTGGCAGGAGCAGGGACCGAGCAACGGGAGCTCACCCCATCGCGGGGATTCGACCCGCTGACCTTCTAATCAGCAAGTCCTAGGTTCTGTGGTTTAACCCACCGCGCCACCTGCGTCCCATCGCCCACTACCCACACATTATTTCTCACGGATGAGGGGGCCCATGTTTGAGTAAGGCTGCCCTAACCCAAAGGTAGATGCCATGTTGAGTCCACCATCTCCCATCAGCCCCCAAGCAGAATGGGCAACAGCCAGGGATGATGGGAGTTGTGGTCCCAACTGCATCCGGAAGGGACTAGGCTCAGGAATATATCCCACAATGGCTTGCCAACCTCCCTCCACTTACCAGGCGTCCACAACAGCCTGTACCTCCTGCCAACGCTCAATACGACACCGGCACTGATCCGTCATGCGCTGGATCCGGGGCAGCAGTTCACGGACCTGCTCCTCATCGTGGCTCTGCACCTCCCGCACGAGAGCTGGGGACAGAGAGGGGCGCAGAGGGAGATTTGGGAAGAACTCGCTGAGTATCAAGCAGCAACTATGTACAGAGGTTTTTTACCTCCCACAACTTGTGGGTGGCCTCGGGGTTAGTCCACATCATACGCAAAAACGAAAACTAAAAATGCATTTTTGAAATAGTATGGTAGTAGCAACTCCCTGCTTGCACCAATGAAGCCTAGCACAGAACGGAAGGAAGTGTATTCCTGGAGTTAGCATAAGACAGAGGTTTTCAACCTTTTTGAGTCCACGGCTCCCTTGACCAACCACATTCTTTCTGTGGCTCCTCTGTGGGGAAACATGCTCTGAGTCTCAGAAGTCCAGCTATGTCACCCCTTGTCTGCAGAGCCGGTAGCCCCTCATCCCTCCCTTGTGGAGTGTTCCCTCGGCCTCCTCTTCCCTCTCCTTAAGAGTCCTCCGGGCAGTCACCGAAGTAGCCCCTGCTGCTTGCAGCACCTTGGTGTGCCACGGCACACTGGTTGAAAACCACTGGCATATAAGGTATTTTCCAGTGTTCCTGAGAAAGAACATTGCTGGGTATTGGTTGAGCCATTGGTGGAGGGCCACAGGTGAGGAAACTAGGCCTATTCCAGTGTTTTGGCTTGGCAGGAATTCTAATATTGCCTCTTGCTTGAATGGAGAATACAGTGGTACCTCGGGTTACATACACTTCAGGTTACAGCCTCTGCTAACTCAGAAATATTACCTCAGGTTAAGAACTTTGCTTCAGGATGAGATCAGATATCGTGCTCCGGCGGCGTGGCAGCAGCAGGAGGCCCCATTAGCTAAAGTGGTGCTTCAGGTTAAGAACAGTTTCAGGTTAAGAACGGACCTCTGGAACAAATTAAGTACTTAACCCGAGGTACCACTGTACAGAGGGTGTGTGTGTGTCTGTGTGTGTAGAAACAAAGGATAACATTTTAATGTATTTTTCATCTTTGTTGGAAGCTGCCCAGAATGGCTGGGGAAACCCAGCCAGATGGGCAGGGTACAAATAAATAATAATAATAATAAATTATTATTATTATAT